TTGTTAAATAAAGCCGTAAAACCCACCCAAAGGACTTCTGAGATATATATTTATGTTCTGAGATATTACGTTTTAAGTATCTGGCTTTCACTTTTCTGACAGCGGCAGACAGATAGGAATATCAAGCCTATTCAAGCAGGAGCAGATGCCTCTGGAAGGCATATTATTCTAATACGGCTTTTAAAGCACATCAGTAGAGACTAACCTCCTGTCATTTCAACAGTTCTTACTTCCACATTAATGAAAGGTTATTAATGAAAAAGGGTTTTTCCCCCTATGTATTCTAAAAAGGTAGTAAATAGAAATAACTAAAAAGCTTTCACAACTACCAACATATCTGGAATAATCTTATAGAAAAAAAAATTCTGAAAATTAGGGAATAGAATTATTTCTTCAACAGCATTCGGGATATTCTTAGCAATATCCCTGCTTCCTAACTGCTTTCTCTGCTTAAGATAGAAACAGGCACCATCTTATTTTTATTACTCAGTTTTATATCTCATAAAGCATGATACAGATGAATAATGTTTAATTAACAATATTTACTGAGGCCACAGGTCCTTTGGGGGAGTAAACGCTGGTGGAGCAATCCTATCCAAGCAATGGTTCCCTGCGACATGTTTTGCCTTGGTTGGAACAAAATCACAATAGAATGCCAAAGCAGTTTCTGGATGACAACTGTAGCTAAGAAACCACTTCTATTGTGACATGAGTCAGACTATAAATTTAAAATATTGGTTTTATTTTTAAGAGCTTTATAATTTTATCATTGTCTTTAAATTTCCACGGGATTCATTCTTCAATATGTCTTATGTTGAATATACTCACATACAGCTCACAATTTGAGCTTGTTCAAAATAAAGGAAAAATTTTTTTGCCAGAATGATGTTCACGCAATACAAACACAGGCAAACAGGTGATAACCACTAGTTCCAGGGCCTCTCCATAGCATCTTTTATGGATTCACCTCAGTTGCTACCTCAGTTATAGATTGGGGAATATTTATTTTATGTATTTGTAGAGACTATGGAATAAATGCTTCTGGTCACACTTACAACAGTAAGTTTTTATAATATTCTGGGTCTTGCCCATTAGAAATGCAATATAATAGACAATATAAAGCAAGTGATCTCTGGGATTGAACTGAATAGGATTTCAAAATCTCCCATGTGGTTCTCTGAATGCATACCTGCAGAAACCTAGGAAACTTGCCTTTGACCTAGAAAGGAGGGCAATTTGTGTTGCCATTAAAGTCCCAAGTATAATATGTAAAATAGAATATTTGCTCAGCCTATTAAAGGACTACTTTTAGACTGGGCTACCTGTTAGTAATTAGGGATCATCATTTCCAGGTAAAAGTAACTCAGGGCTCGGCGCCT